GGGTTTTTTTGATCATTATTCAATAGTTATTGCTGCCTCTCACAGCTGGCATCCCTCGGCTCCCCCATCACACTGGCAGGCCGAGGAGGCCCTTGGCTGAGCAGGAACCACCTCAGCTGCACCCTAGTGATGCTGGGGCTCGTGTTAGTGTCTCCCACGTGGAGAGAAGCTGAGGATGCCCTTGGCTCGAGGCCGGGGCCCTGGTCCCAGACTAACAGCCTGCAAGTGACACATGGATGTGCTTGTATGGAACAGTTAATATGCTTAAAATTGGGGATATTGCTTTGTGTTTACACAAGCTCCCCGGTTCTGGAGCTATTTTCAAGCTGCAGTTATGTCTCAAGTGAATGCACTGGAAATAAATACTCTATATCTGCTCCTGTATGCCACGAGCTGTCTAAAATTAACAATCTCTAATGTTTTCAGTTCACACGTGCCACTTGGTGCACCTTGTTCAAATGCAGGTACCTGTAGTATTTTTACTGTTACTGTCTGCAGTGGGTGCACATCTGCAAAAGACCAGAAGGGAAATGGGACATGAGGTCCTACAACTACTCAGAGAAGTCTCTATGGATTCAGAGGCCAGAAACCTTATCCCAAGATTACAAATACCACTAGGGCTGGGGTTTGGTCTGCAGGATGCACAGGTCTGATGGGAGGCTTTGCAGTGAACCTGCACTCTTGCCTCGACAAAGGTTTTACTTGTGGGACCAACACCACAGATAAACACGGTCCTCAGGCATCGCCCACGTTCAGTGTGGTTTAAGTGCCCAGGTTTTCCTACAGCACCCCAAAACAGCTGTGTTTTCCCAGGTCAGCTCTCCTAGCAGATGTAACATTGTACCAGGAAAAGTGCTGCCACGGGGCTGCACTGTACCTGCACTATAATACCTGTATTTTTCTCCATGCAAAAGCCAAGGTCTTCCTTTTCTCAGGCTCCTGAGGCACAACATTCTGCAGTCAGCAGATGGATTTCTACAAGCAGGAAAACCCATCTTTATTTTAAAGAAGTAGGGAAGTAGAAGAACTCCTGAAACTCCATGTTTTGCAATCCCTTTTTCCATATCACTGTCAATCCACTGGGGAAACCAAGTGAACCCACTAAAAAGTCAATAAAGAATCTCTGCAGTGCTGCCAATACCAACGGCATTTTCAGAATAACAGTAACAGGATCTGAGGAAAAAGAAAATCAGCACAAGGTCTTTCAAACAGGGAAACAGAGGCTGGATTCCATCTCAGTAACCAGGTCACTAAACCATGCTGACTCTTTTGGAGTAAAACTTACCAGTTAAAGAATATCTCTGCATGGAGGAAGATGTTTCTTTGTAAAAGGTGCCAGGTAGTTATCAGGAATAGCTGCTAAATGCAAGTTGATGACCAAATTACCTCGCTGTTACCTGCGCATGGCTCTGAGCCCAGGAATCTATTTCCTAGTATTCCTTGCAGCCAAGACCTGTGCTGTTAGCCGGTGCAGAAATAAACCTGCACAGAACAAACTACTACTCCTACTTTCAGATTTAAAGACCCTACATAACAATTAAGATACATACCTTAATGAGAAGATGAGTTGATAGCTGGGTTGTTTTCCTTTTACTAGATAAACAAGAGGAAAAGCATTATATCTGCATTGCACAAGCATGTTCATTTGAGCACAATCTCCTCTCCCCTGGAAGATGTTCCCAAACGGTTAAGGGGCATGATCACCCTGCAGCGAGTTTACAAGTGAGTACAACTATTTGATGCACGAGCTAGTTCCCATTCAGCGATCACTCTTTTAAGGTGAGCTCAGGTGCACAGGCCTGTAAACTCTCAACTTCTCCAAGCATCTGACACAGCTGGAATCATCACACTAAAAATCCCATTTTCCCTTCTGCTTCCAGTACATTACTCCAGTGAAATGTTATTAATCTGTTCCTCTGCCAGTGAGATCTCAGCCCCTGCTTGTTTTCAGCCTGCAACGCTGCAAAAGGAAGATGATGACATGAGTAGGCGCAGCAAGACCACGCAGAACTCACCCTTCCTTTGTGCAAGGTGCTACAGCCGCCCACAGCCACCACTGCTCCTGCTGCTTCGGCAGCTGACAAAGGTGTAAAGCCACTTTTGGATTTCACTCCAAAAGAACGGGAGCGTTTACCATGCAACACCCTTGTTAACAAAGTGAGAAAACAGTTTTGTAGCTGCCAAGGGCTGGCTGGTGACTCCCAGCGAGTGAGCGCTTGGACTCCTCAGTGCTGGAGCTGTTTTAACTTTGCCAGTTTTGTGATAATTTTCCTACGATGGAATGAGTTGAGTAAGGAGGAGACAGCAGAATTAGTAAAGGTTACTTTTACATTCTGCTGTTCTAAACTTTAGCTAAAGGCCAAGAGCACTTGCATGATCAGGATCCTCTGAGTCTGTGTCCATGCTGCTTCCAGGAGTGCCCCAAAGATGAAGACTTCCCAATGAATCCTCCTCACAGCACAATATTAGCAAGAGGAATTGCTTCTTCCATGGCTCTTAGGCACAAGTGAACTAAGAGATACTACGGCTAATCTGCAGAAAGAAAAATGACTTTTGCTGAAACCACGTGTCAAAACCTCTCTAAAGAAGCAAGGCTGCAGACAAGTCACATTATCTCATCAGTTTTCTTCCAATTTTAGCTAACCTCATGCTTGGCTATGTCTCTTATGGTCTATCAGCCACTCAGACTGCCACTGTGACACACTCTGGGCCTGGGGGAGATTTACAGGTCTTCTCAATTTACATTAAAAACATAATTTTTTGCATTGTGGAAGGGAAGATATCTGGTTGCGAGCGATTTCCTGTAGCTTGTGCAGAAGTCAGTGGAAGTTTCTTCGAGGAGGGTTCAACAGCCTTTTCCCAGAAACCACCACACATTTTAATTACTCCCTTTACACATTCAAGCACTTTACATCCCAGTCAGCCTCCCGAGCAAGTATCTTTTTAATAACCTTTTAGTTAAGCCTAGTAGTTTTCATTTCACCAACCATTTAATTTTCCCATTAAATAAGCCTTTGTTCAAAACACTTCCAACATTATGCTCTTACAGGTATGAATTCCACCAACCGCTAATCCCGAGCAGCAGAACAACTAGACGTCCCCAATTAGCGCAACTGTTTAATCAGCGCAGTCACACCACATAAGGCATGCACACTGCTGCAATTTAACCGAGTGCTAACACCCCCGACTGCCAGAACACTGAACACCCAGGGGAGAAGGGCAAGATGCTGCTGGATAGGGCGCCCTGCACCGATGACTTTCAAATATCGCCGTTTCCCCAAGAACTGGCGCACAGATCGGTCCCCTAACGCAGAGGCTCTTTTGTGGGAGCCAGGCACTCTTTTGGGGAATGAAATTAAACTGATTCATCCCTGAGGTTGGGAGAGCAGGCCTCCCACCCACGACAAGCTAAGCTACTGCTGAGGACAGTTGTTCAGTGCGAGCTAAGGTTGTCGCACCAAATACTACAATGACCACGTTGGCAAAATGCTTGCTCAAGTGTTGCACAGGTGGAGGCTGCTGAGCAGAAACCACCCCACACATTAACAGCAACGCTATTAATCCAAGCTCTGAGACATGACACTTGGATTTCACCTCTGCGTGAGAATCCAGCAGAATGCAAGTTATTTTTCACTCTGTTAAATACAAAAACACAATCAGTACTTTACATTAAATAGCCCGGCACTAAATGTAAAGGTACATTACTCCAGCGCTGGACAGTCAGTGTGCTGCAGGACTCCATGCCGAAAATGCACAACTCATTAGAAAGAAATTAGTGAAAATATGGAAGCTAGCAGCAGGAGTAAGCAAAGTTTTCTGACACTGAAAGGAAACAGACTTAAAGGCAAACTGTTTGATCCTACCACAGTGATTAATTGTAGACTATTTAAAGTGTCATGAATAAGTTTCAGATGTAAAAACTTCACTGCCGTAACTGAGGCAAACACATATCTCCTCAAAAGCTACAGACTTCTGGTATTTGGCAATTCTCTGCCCAAATTTGGAGAGCTAGTTTCTAAGGGAATCTTTCTTCACTAACCTTTGAGCCCAAATGAAAGCAAGAGTCAGGGGACACCTTGGGCATTACACAGACACCTGCACACACTTTACAGAATGCCTGCATCAAATGTAATCCTCTTACAAGAAGTTTCCATACCTCTGAGAAAATAAAACAAGTCTTTTTTAAAAAAAATCAAAAGGATTGCAAAGCAACGATTAGCAAAAGGTGACTGACATTTGGTCTTTTTCCTACTTTTTGTATTTCGTGCTTTCAAAAATTTCCTACTGCAGTACTCAGCTGGACAGAGCTAGTGCACACAGTTCCATCAGAAACACAAAGCTGTTCAAATCCCTCACTTCAACAACATGCCCCTTCCCAGCCAAAATAAAGCTCTCTCTCCATCATTAACAGTCATTCCACCAATCAGATGAAGTTGTGATCAGCAGATAAAAATATTTATGAAGTACAGCTGATAATGGTTCAATTTAATATGTAACTTCTTTTTTTTTTTTTAAATAACCAACAGCATACTTCCCCTCCAAATAAAAAAAATACCCAGTTAAAAAAAAATCAACAGAATGCACAGACAGAAGGGATATGTGGGAATCTCTGGGCTACTCTGTCTTAGCAAAGACTTGCAACAACAAATATGCAAATCCAGTGCTGAAGAACAACCTTGCTCCAGGAAGCAGGGGACAGCTGGCTGGGGACCAAGACTGCAGAAGAAAGCCCCATGCCCACACGTTTGCAGAAAGCTCAACCTGATGCCCCTCCAATTCAGCTGGTAAACAGAGCAGTAAGTTAGTTCTTCACACACCAGTTTAAAGGCAGGCAGCACAACCTCTGTCAGCACAAGCTGCAGAGCTCCCTACGATGTAACGTTCTCCACCATTGGGAAGCGGGATCCAGAGCGGCCATTGCGCATGCGATGGAGCGCTCCCTTCAGCCCACTTCAGGTGAGAAGCAACCAAGGTGACCACAAACCACAGCGAACAAGGTATTAAGATGTGTCCAACTTGTGCGTCCGCTCGTGCCTCCGCAGGGTTCCAGACTCGGTGAAGGAATGACCACAGTAAGCGCAGGAGTAGGGCTTCTCTCCCGTGTGGATCCGCTGATGACGCTGGAGCGACGCCAGCCGCGTGAACGTCCCGCCACACTCCTCGCAGTAGAAGGGACGCTCCCCAGAGTGAGTCTGCTGGTGTCTCTTCAGCCTGAGCAGCTGGATGAATGCCATGCCACATTCCTGGCATTTGTAAGCCTTGTCCTGCCGGTGGATCACCTTGTGTTTGGAAAGCAGATTACGCTTATCAAAACCCTTGCCACATGTTGGACAGGTGTAAGGTTTATAGTCTGCTTTCTCTGACTTTGGGTTCTCTGCACAAGGCTGATCAGAGCACTCAACACAGTGTTGGCTACGGTGCACTATTGACCACGGGTTCCTGGCCATGCCATTTCCTAGGATCACCATGGAGCGCTCTATCTTGTGCACGTTGCGCAGGTGCCTCCAGACATCAGCTGTGCGGATGAAACCCTTGTCACATTCTGGACACTTATGTGGCCTGTCACTGGAATGAATGAGCTTGTGCATTCGCAGATTTGCAGCACGGAAGAACTCTTTGCCACAAACAGGGCATCGGTATGAGTTTTCCACGAGGTGGACTTGCTTGTGTTCCTGCAGTTCACTCATACCCTGGAAGGAGGCACCACACTTCTTGCACCGATATGGCAAAGGTTCCCTAGAGATGGGCTCCTGCTCCTCCTCACCAAAAACATCAGCAAGAACAGCGTTTTCATCTTCATCACACAGCCTTCTCTGTGGTTTCTTGGAGCACTTAGAGGAACCACGCTCTAAATCCTCATCTTTACACTGCAAGTCAAAGTTGGTACTGGAGGTGACAATTATCCCAGCTGCCATCTCACTTCGGTTTTGGTAGTAGGTCTCATAGGTCTCTTCATCTTCACACTGCAACTCTACAGGAAGCCCCTGTTTACCTGAAGGTCCAGCACGGTTGTAACGAGGAGTGGATCTCTGTGAGTAGCTCATGTCTACCTCCTTCCGGAGGCTAGACTTGCGGCCCACATGTTTATTGGTCTGTCTGGAATAATTGGAGCTTTTCTCACCTGTGTCACACGTGTTATCCTTAGAGTCCCAGTCTACCTTCACATCCATCTTCTGATGTGTGTGCTGTGTTTATCTGTGTACACCAAGCTCTTCAGGTCTTTCATGGTAAGTACATCTCATTCTCAGATCTCTTCAGTCCTCCCTAGAAAGCAACAACAACAAAAAAATTCTCGAGGGATTTTCTGATAGCAACAGAAAATAAACATACATCGTCACAGAAAACCTATGTTATGTTTGAAAGAATGGAACAGATCATTAGTTATGCAGTGGGTAAAACAGAACCACTGTCTAGCATATATGTAGAATATTTACATTCAGTGTATAGAATACACACAGATAATAAAGTTAAATCCTTTACTATAAACCAGTTTTTGCTATAAATGTAAATTGTTAAACCATTTCTATTTAAATTAAAATCTTAAGAACTTTGGGGACAAAACACTTTGGGTTAAGTCCTATGCTTATCTCTCCAGCTGCCCTATAGCAAGCCTTTTTCCCAACGATTCACTTCTAATCCTTGTTTTTAAGTTGCTACTGAATAAACTGGCCGGCACCATATTGTGGAGAGAGATGTGCTGGAGCCATATGTAAGGAAAGGCCTAAAAGAGCAGCCCAAGAAGCTCACTAGTCAACCTTACAGATGCTGGCCCACCAGAATGGCTTCATATTCTCTGGGTAAATTGTCCCAGCTGGTGACAGCAGATCCACCTGGAGTTTTCAGTCAACCAGTTTTAAGGCAGAATTTGGTCTGAATAGCTAGTCTAACCATAGAAAGTGCATTTTACCCACCCTGCATCGTTAACTCTGCTCTTCTGATCTCCACCAGCTCCTCCACAGCCACTTTTTAATATTTCCTTCACTCCTGCTCCTTCTCCATTTCCTCCTCAAAGCTCTTGTCTGGGTTAAAACTTCTCTAAACATAAGCATACATATAATGTGTATGAATGAGTAAATATGCAGGCATGCATATATTTCCGCATTTACATGTGTATATAAATTACAAAGACTGCCTATTCATTTTCAGTAGGTTTAACTAGCAATAAGGGCGTCACAGCAACACTCTTTAAGTGAAAGGTCTCATTCACATCTCAGAAAGACCAGTTTCATTCAAGGCACAAACTGAGCTCTCTTCTACTGCGATCCTGAAAACAAGTCTGAATTAATCTTCTTCATTAGGCACTGTCTGGAAAACAATGGCTCGAGTCATCCGTCAGCTCCAAACGTTCCCATTAACTTGGTAGCACCTGCATGGAAATAGGGGCTATTTTTACCTTCCAGCATGGGGCTGGGTGTCTCTAGGAGGCTGCCGCCGGCTTCCTAGCGAAGTAACAGGCTGGCTTGCTCAAGGTAAACTTTCCAGGGAAGGCTCCTTAATGAAACTTGCTGAGAACGGCCAGCCCGACACAGCAGGAAAGCGGGAAAACGGTTAAGCATGATGCAAGCTTGAAGAAACACGGATTTGTAGGCAGGGACAGAGGGATGAGGCGAAACTCCCCGGGCCCAGAGCCCGCG